GAAGGCAGTCGCTTAACCAACTGAGCCACCCAGGCGCCCTTTTTTTTTTTTTTTTTTAAATCTTTTTAAGAGCTGGATTGGATTCTGTAAGATTGTCCCAATTTCTTGCAACAAATTTCCTTTCCTTAAGCTAGCTTGAGTAGGTTTTGGTTTTAGTTTTAAATTTTTTTTTTTTTTTAAGATTTATTTTGAGAGAGTGAGAGACAACATGAGCAGGGGGAGGGGCAGAAGGAGAAGCAGACTCCCTGCTGAGTGGGGATCCTGATAGGGCGCTCGATCCTGGGACTCTGGGATTATGACCTGAGCTGAAGGCAGATGCTTAACTGACTGAGCCATCCAGACGCCCTTGTTCGTTTAGTTTTGAGGCTCACATCAAAAGATTGGTACCAAGACTGGTGGGAAGCCCCAAGGATGCTGTAGAGTTGGGGTGAAGAGGGGTGGTTACTATGGATCTCAGTGTGAGGATCTGACAGTCTGGGGGATTGAAGTGGAAAAATAGCTATCTAAGTCCCTCCTGCTGGACTATCTAATAGCTATCTATAGGCCTCCTGCTGGATCAGGGGGCCAAATACTCTATCAGGATGTGATTGCTCCTTGGGACCTTGAGTGAAGTACAACAGTAGAGGCAGTCTGAGGTTTATTGGGCAGAACTGGGAGCAGATATAGTAGGAAGAAATTTTCTTCCCTCCTTAACCCTTCTTTCCAACTCCTTCCCACCCATACCATTGGGAGAATGTATCGGAGTTATATTGTGAGACATGGCTAATATTAGCAAGATGTTAGTCTTGTAGATTCGCCAGTCGTATGAGTAGAAATTAAAGCCTCTTTCTATGAGGCTCTGTAAGAACCTTCCCCTGCATGGTAGAGAAGATAGTGAGGATTGTGACAGGGAAAAAGAAGAACAGAAAGAGTAGAGTATCCCAGATGCCCAAGTGAAGCACAAGGACTCTATGAACTAGATACTGGAGAGTGACTCAGTGGGAAAAGCATAGAGGTATTTGGCACCATCTAGAGGACTCTGTGTTTGGGACCCAGTTAATAGATTTTCATATACACAGGACAAATCCTTATTTACTAACATCTGTAATACACCTAGTATGTACCTAGTGCTTTATACATTTTAACAACAGAGTGTTTTCATCCTTTAAAAGATGAAGAAACTGAGGCTTTGGCTTTACATAACTTGGCAATGCTAATATGATAATAACTTATTTACAACTAGTAATAAGTAGAGTAAGGTTCTGAACAGTGGCCTTCTGAATCTACAATCTTCAGACTTTTTCCACCAACCAATCTGTCTGTTTACTCTAAATGACATAAATTCAAAATACAGATATAAAAAGATAGAGGGTTTAAGTGAATACTGTAATGTTTCTACTTTTGATATCAATGCAAATATACAAGAACAAACAGCTTTTGAAATCATTCTCAAGTGTTTAATTAAAATCCATATAGCATTTAACATGTATAGATGTTTAAACTCTTTCAGTGACTCTTATTTTAAAATCCTTCTGCACAACATTTTGAGGCTAACTTCATGCGAGAGATCTACAAATGTACAACTTAACACAAAAATACATTCGGAGTCCATTACAATGCAAGTTTAAAACACTTTAATTGCAGACAATGTAAAGATATTTAAAAAACAAAAACTACAAAATGAGCACATAAAAGTCTTCCCTTTTGAATTTTTAATAAAATACTGCTCTGTATAAGATCTAATGAAAAAGTCCAGTTACTTATAAAATAGCTGAGAAAAGAAATGAATTAAGGTATATATGTATGAATTATATTGTTTAAATGAACAGAGTGTTGAACACTTTGATGATACAGCACACTATTTATTATTCATATATCAAAATAGAGGAAAACCCTCAAAGAAGCAACTGGGTGCAAGCAAAAGAAAATGTAAGAGACCTGAGGCAACAAAACAAAACAAAACAACAACAACAACAAAAAACCCCAAACCCCAAAACAAAGGAAAAAGTCCCTTAGCTATAAAGGGAAAGGAGTAAAATAAAATAACTTAAAGCAAACTGTGGACCAAATTCTCAGTCTTTTTATTTCATGAGAAACAGTATGAGAATTTGGCTTCAAATTACTAAAACATCTGTATAAACTTAATTATTTGGCCTAGGCAATTTAATAGTATACCATTGCTGAAATCAATAGCAATGGATGTACTGCTGGAAAAAAAATTAATTTTTACAGGTTTAACTATGTAAAACTATCTACTGGAAACCAGAGTCTCCATCACAAATTGCACTTGAGATGGCTGAATGCATTGACTGAGCAAGGCATAATTGTTGGTTCACTGACATACATACAAACACAAAAGCAGCTGTAGATTGCTGATATTCTTAATTACTAAAACTATTTTACACATTTTTCTCCCCTCTCTCTTAAAAAAAAAAAAAAAAAAGGAGTGATACCCGAGCTGTTAACTCAGTATGGTAACGGGCACTTCCGCACGCCTGCTGACTCAGTGCCATTGCCTGTCTGTTTCAACGCTGTCTCCTACTGCTCCCTGGCGGAATATGGAGAGGTCTGATGGAAATACGAACCAGGTCAGTTTGAAATACTCATTTCTGGAATTTTAAGCTTTATCCTCACTAGGAAAGGAAGCTCCTGTGAAAAACACTGTTCCACTGACAAAGCTTACAAAATATAAAGAACACTGCCAGTCTGAGTACTATCACTATCTCTAGAAAAATGATAAAGGAACTTGATTTTTTTTTTTAAAGTAGAGAATGCTTGTCACAGTTATATCTCTCCAATAAATTAATTCTCCTCTATAGTAAAAACACAATTTGGAAGCAAGGTGATCCTAAGAAAGATAGCAAGCTTGAAAAGCTGGGAAATTATACACTGTTGCTTTAAAAAAGATGCTCTGAACAATGAGGCAAAGCACGTTAGGCCTAACTTCAGTGGAGATCTGGACAGTTTTCTCTACCTTAAGGTAAAAATTAGACAACCACTACAAAAACGTATGATTCATTAATACAAATAGAACAGATGATTAAAAAGTGAGTAAATAAAAAAGCCCCTGCAACTTATCTATTTCCTTGAGCTAGAAAGAGATAGTCTGAAAATGCAGTGATTGGATATATCTTATTTAATTGGTTTCCTTCTTCCAACTCCTCCTTCACTGCTTCTCCCCTTAAATGAAGACTGTAGATTAGTTCGGAAATAACAGTCTAAAACCAAAGCAAATACCTGATCATAGGAAAGGAAAAACAACAAAAAGCCTGCACCAAGAGTTCTTCATCTCTCCCACCAATAGAAAAACAAAAACAAAAACAAACCTTATCTTTTCAGTTTTAAAAGAACTCCTTATCCCTCTGAAAAGCAAGAACATCTTAAATTGAAACCAAGGTACACACAGAGGCAAAATTAATGTTTCATGCAACTGACTCTCTGATGTTTAAGATTTTCGTCTACATGATGTTTAAATCAATTAATACATTCTGTCAAATTATAAAACTAGGTGATGATCAGGTAATGCAGGCAATTGTAACAAGGAACAATGAGACTAGAAAAATCAATTTCAAAATTCACTTAATGCACTCAAAAAAAAAAAAAGAGGGAAATTACTGAGTAAGAATATTTAGATTTAATTTCTTCGGTTACGTGGAAGCATGAAGCAATTTGGGCACTCTGCTCTCCTATGCCCTATAGAGACCACAGCTTTCACAGAAAGTTTACAGCAGATTCAACAGTCGAATGGGCATATTTCTAAACTTGGAGCTGGTCTGAGTTTGCCCCATCCAAGAGGGAAAAACTAAGTTTCCCATACTATCAACGAATCCAGTCTCCTCGAGATTATCATGAGATAAAAATAGTCTGTTTCTTATGTCCTGCACAGGGAGGCACGAGTCCTGCTGATCTCCTATTGATCTCATGCCCATATTTGGAACAGGTCTACAAAGGAAAAGGAACAGAGATGAAGGCTTGACCACTAATCTAGTCATTATCGAGCTCTTTCCTATTTTAATCTCTCTTCAATCTTGACCTTTAGAATACTGTGTGTTTTTTAAAAAGGGAGGAAGGAACAAAAAGAAAACACTTTTGCTGCCTATCCATGTAGAATTATAAACTCCCTTTGCTCAAACACTGGGGTGATATCCTTATGGGTTCAGTGGCAATATGCTTGTTGAAATTTATCTTGGGAGTTTTCAGAAGATGGCACATGCTCTTTCCTTTGTACTCTAAAAAAGATGTGGGTTGTACACTGTTTTTAGAGGGGCCACATAGCAGTAATGAGCGAGGCAATTCTTGAATGCTGGAGTTTGCACAGGTACATAAGGTGACAAATATTAACACACTTTAAAGTAGTAAGATGTTAAAAGAACATTATTGTCACAATTTAACTTTTTTGTATTGTATTCTCATAATAGAGATTTCCTTTCAAAACAAATACAGAGTTTGTGAGACACTAAGGACAAACACTGAGAATTATTTGAGCCTCATTATTCAAGATCCCACTACAGATAAACATTCCCAACAAGGACATGCTGGGAACCAACATCTGAATCTGGAAAATTAACAGAAAATAAAATCACAGACGCTCACATGACTATAATAAATGACAGATAATGAACATTTATCTCTTACACTAAAGGCACTACTAATATACAAATATCCTCTTAGCATTTAGAGAAACTCTGAAATCAGCAGTTAGAGAAAGGAATCCATTTAGTTCAATACCAGCATTTAAAAAAAACAAATAGACTAAGACTCATGGCAGGGTTTTTAATGAGTTAAATGAAACTGGATATAATAATAAGCAGCTCCATATAAACATTATGGTTCCTACTTTTTAAAAAAGTATGATAACTTACTTCCTTAAAAATATAAGCATATCACAAAAACTAAAGGATAAATGTGTGTGTGTGTGTGTGTGTGTGTGTATACATGTAAAAACTCAGGCCCTGGTACCACTGAGAAATTTTCATAAATTCTAAAATAATTTCAACAGCCACAGCTTGAACAATACACACCCATACATGACATGCAAAGACAAAATGCCAGAGTCACTGAACAGTTCAGCATAAAGCTAAAAATATGGAAACAGAATGAGACAGGCGTTTGTCATGTAAATAAAGTACATCACAAACTGATTGTGCCTGTATTTAGCACACCTCAGAATTTTTTTAAAAAATTAGAATTTCATCAGTCTCAAGAAGCGCTACACATGGACCAACAAAGAAGCTCTCATATATGTTTAAGCAGGTAAAAAGCTATACAAAAGAATAACACAATTTATTTCAACTAACATGATTAATATATTTTACTTTATTCTATTAGAAGATTAATTTGTAGTCCTTGTACCCTGTAGATTTTGAAACTTAATTTTATTAGAAATTTCTAATGCTGGTTCTTGAATAATCTAAAAAACTGTAATTACTTGCTCAAATCTCGATTGCTATTTATGGTTCTAAGCAGTTAAGTGAAATACTCTGATCAGTATTCTAAAGTTGCTTTGGTACAAAATTTAGAATCAAGCAAAACTGGCAGCACCACCACAAGTGTGATCATTTCACAGCAGGTCTAAAGGACCCTCAGAGAAAGCAAAATGCAAGTTAAAATACTCTAAGAGCCATTCTCCTGACAAACCTGTCACATTAAAGAGAGAAATAAAATCCACTCAGTAGATTACACCTGAGGCCCAATTTTCATGCTCCATTTAATTATCCCTCAATGGTATAACAATTTTTTTTATTATTATTGCACTATGATGTCTAATTCATAGTTCAGGATACTTCTATTGATGAGAGGCCAAGAGTTAGAGTGGTACATTTTAATGCTTAGTCCACTGATACTATTTTAACACAAGGTTTAATTTAGTTTTTCTTTTTTACAGCTTTACTGAGGTATAACTGATGTAAAACTGCACATGTTTAAGACGCACAATTTGATATAGCATGAAAAGTGCCTGACAACCAATTAAAAATTTTAATTGAAAAGAAAATTTTTAATCAAAACATATTATTTTAAAATAGCACATTCTAATTTTTTATGAGACACAGATATGGATTTCTAAAAACATGGGTGGAAAGGAAAGAAATTAATTTAATTTCGAGTACCATATTTATTCAGAAGGTTTAGAAACGCCAAAATTGACAGCCAGTTTTCTTGATTTTCTTCTTGAAGATGAGCTTGGTGTGGACTTGTGATGAGACATACTATGGCCTTGGGAGGCAGCTTCAGCTTGAAAAGAAGATGCAGGTTGAGTAATCTGAGAGGACTTTAAGGAGGCTGATGAACACTCCTGTGGAATCACTTTGGTGACATTGGAAGACCCTGGCTGGCTAGTCTGAAGCGGGGTAGCTTGAGAACTCTGGGCCTCCTTACTCTCAAAGTTCTTTTTATTTGCAACCCTTTTTTTAGTAACCTTTAAGGAATAAAAGTGTCGTTAATTAACAATGTACACAGAAAAAACTAGTGTCATAAACCATGTTGCTAATATCTGTCAATTATGCTGACTTGTGACTTCCACTTACAGTCTCCAAACCAGACTTCAGAAATTAAAGGAAATTTTAAAATTCTCCATAACTTAAAAATAAAGAAAATTTATATTCCTGATTTTAAAATCACTTCGTGCTAGAAAAGGGTATTACTTGCTGTAATTATTACTGGTCACTGCTGGTCATAATGTATATTCTTTAAAAAAAAAAAAAATATATATATATATATATTTTTACATAATCTCTACACTCAATGTGGGTCTTAAACTCATGACCCTGAGATCAAGAGTCACATGCTCTACTGACTGAGCCAGCCAGGCACCCTGACCACTGGTCATTAATATATATTCTTAGCACCCAGACCAGTACTGGGCTTCTGGTTGGCATTCAATCAGTAATAATTAAGTAAACAAATTCTTCTCAATAGTTCTTAAGCATTAACAAATTAACTCTCTTAAAAATATAGTAATTGTCTTTTCAGGTCTCACCTGTAGAGGTATGAACTGATTGTGCACACCACCTGGCAATCCCCCAGCCATGGGCATGGTCCCAGAGTATGAAGTATGATGAAATGGCTTCCCAGGAACTGGCACTGGTGGTCCCCATGGCATGGAGCCAAAGAGATGAGATGATGAAGGCATTATATTAGCTGTTAAAAATCATGGACAATTTCTTTTTTAGTAAAATGGTATCATCAAAGTCGTAAAATTTAAGATCTCCTTCTGCTACCCTTTTGTGTGGTTTTTTTTTTTTTTTTCCATCTTGGCAATGGGCATACACTTAACTTATGATTAATTTTGCTTACAACATTCCACCTTGGGAGCCCCCGTTAGGACCATGAACTATCTACGTAAGACACCTTGTCATTATGTTGTCTGGCTTACAAAGGCCAATAGTACCATATACTTATATGAGCTTTAGGAATATTTGATACTATTTAAAAAAATAATAAAAGGATCATGAAACTGTCCCTTGGGGGAGAAAAGCCAGGGCACAAAGAGAGAAATCTTAAAGATCTCACCTGCCCCCAATGCTAAGTTGCTTCCATAGTGATCCCAGCCTACAGAAAAACCAAAAAAGCTCAAGTCTTGAACTCTGATCACTTTCATATGACATGTAGAATCTTTCTTTTTCCTATTCTAGTACTTGTAATTAAAGGATTTAAAAAAATTACATTTTGTTTCTTAAAAGTACACTGAATCGTGGTTTCCAAAACTGATTTGTGTATTGGAATCACCTGGGGAGTTTGTGAAATACAGATTCCCGGGCAAAGCCGCACGCAGGCCTAGTCAACCAGGCTCAGAAGGGCCCAGGAATCTGTATTTTTGAAGTATAGCTGACATACAATAGAATATGAGTATCAGGTGTACAACAGTGATTTGACAGTTAGATACATTACAAAGTGCTCACCATAAGTGTGGTTACTACCTGTCACCATACAAAGTTATTATAATATTATTGAATATATTCCCTCTGCTGTACTTTTCATCTTTGTGACTTGTTTATTTTATAACTGAAGTTTGAACCTCTTAGTCCCTTCACCTGTTTGCCCATACCCCCATTCCCTTCTCCTCTAACCACCACCAGTTTAATCTGTATTTATGAGTCTGTTTCTGTTTTGTTTTAGATTCTACAAATAAATGAAATCATACGGCATTTGTTTTTCTGTTTTACTTTGATGGACACTCAGGTTTCTTCCATAAGCGTGCATACATCTTTCTGAATTTGTGTTTTTGTTTTCTTTGGGTAAATACCCAGAAGTGGAAATTCTGGATCATATGGTACCTCTATTCTTAATTTTTTGAGGAACCCAAGGAAATCTGTATTTTGTTTGTTTGTTTGTTTTTAGAGGGGAGGGAGGGGCAGAGGGAGAAGGAAAGAGAATCTTTTTTTTTTTTAAGATTTTATTTATTTATTTGACAGACAGACAGAGAGAGAGGGAACACAAGCAGGGGGAGTGGGACAGGGAGAAGCAGGCTTCCCGCGGAGCAGGGTGCCCAATGCCGTGCTCGATCCCAGGACCCTGGGATGCTTAATGACTGAGCCACCCAGGCGCCCCAGGAAAGAGAATCTTAAGCAGGCTCCATGCCCAAAGTGGAGCCTGATGTGGGGATCTATCCCACGACCCTGAGATCATGACCTGGGCCGAAATCAAGAGTCAGACGTTTAATCGACTGAGCCACCCAGGTGTCCCAAACTTGTCGTTTAATGTAGTAGTTCCCAAATGCTGTATTGGTAGTGACTGCATAAAAATCCATGTGTGGAGCTTGTTAACAATCAGATTCCTGGGGTGCCTGAGTGGCTTGGTCAGTTGAGTCTCTGACTCTTGCTTTCAGCTCAGTCATGATCTCATGGTTGTGAGATCGAGCCCCATGTCGGGCTCTGCACTCAGTGTGGAGTCTGCTTGAGATTCCCTCTCCTTCTCCCTCTGCCCCTCCCCCTGCTGCCACAGGTGCTCTCTGTCTCCCTCTCTCTCTCAAATAAATAAATAAAATCTTTTTTAAAAAGATTTTATTTATTTATTTGAGAGAGAGAGAGAGAGCATGAGAGGGGGGAGTGTCAGAGGGAGAAGCAGACTCCCCACTGAGCAGGGAGCCCGATGCAGGACTTGATCCTAGGACTCCAGCATCATGACCTGAGCCGAAGGCAGTCGCTTAACCGACTGAACCACCCAGGCTCCCTAAAATAAATAAATAGGGGCGCCTGGGTGGCTCAGTCAGTTAAGCGTATAATTATACTAAAAATTTATATATAGTTACTGGGTTCATTTTTGAAAGTGAAAAGGCTGTCAAATTAGATTTTGGAAGTCACAGTGAACCTACTCCCTTAAGTTATATGAAGACATCAGATTTATTTAGTCATAAAAATTTTATGACTAAAGCATTGTTTATACAGGCAAAGAAACGCCAGTGCAGTACAGTAACAAAAGCATGGACTTTGGATTCAGAAAGACTTGGGTTTGAATGCCAGTTTTGCTACTCAGGAACTTACGTCCTTAGACAAATTACATTTTCTTAAAAAGTCAAAGTAGTACATAGACATTGTAGTAAAAAGATTTTCAACATAGTACAATATCCCAGGTTTAACTGTTTTTAGCTATTTATTTCCACCACTGTTCAATAATTTGCTTCTACTACTACTGATTTTTCAATGTTAGGCATTTTTAGGTCTGACTTCCTATTAAGATAGATCAAAATTCAGGTAGATCAAAATCTAAATTATTTTATACCACCCCTTACTACTAGCTCTGTCCTTCCAATATAAACGTATCACAATATTTGTTTAAATATATACGTGGGGTTTACAGTATGTGGTTGCGTAAATACTGTCATTGCAGAGCCAAACAGGGTACTCTGATTATGTTCTTTTCTTGTAAAACTTTTTTTTTTTACTCTTTTAAAAGTAATTATCTTTTTAAAACTTCTTGATCTTCTATGTACTTATCCTTGATGTTTTTCCAAATGCCACCCATTTATCAGATAACTATCTTACCTTCCAAGACCCCACCTCTGCTCTTCCAACTGGGACTACTTTCTAGACCTGCTGAGCAGCTGACATGCTGGGACTTCCATTCGTTGCGTAAGTATACAAGATCTCTTGTGCTGTAGTCTTATGTTTTTTTTCGTTTCTTTTTTCTTTCCTTCTTTGTGTCTTCCTTTTTTTCTTTCTCCTTTTCTTTCTCTCCCTCTCTTACGGCTACTTTGTTTATAATCCTCTAGCTTCTTAAGAAAGGGTGCGTAAGAAGTAGATCTGCATGTCTAAAAATGTCTTTATTCTACCTTACACTAGATTCATAGTTTGGCTATACAAAGAAATCTATGATAAAACTAATTTTGCCTCAGAATTTTGATGTATTCGATGCTCAAATGCTTCCCAGTTCTCTTCAGACATCCTTTTTATCACTGGTATTCTCAATTTCAAGGCAATCTCTCTTTTCATGCACCATGCTAAGCATTTGGTGGCCCTTTCAATTTAGAGTTGCGTGTCCTTTAGTCCAGGAAATGTTTTTATCTTATTTCTTTGATACTTTCTTCCTTTCCGTTTGTCTCTGGTTTATTGTTCTGGAACTCCAATTAGATGGGTACCGGATCTGTGTACTCTTCCTCTACATCTCCCTTCTTTCTGATTTTCCAGTTTTTCTCTTGTTCTTCCTGAGATTTCTTTGGCTTTGCTAAAGCTTTATCTATTGGAATTTAAAATTTCAACTTAACAATTTAGTTCTTATTCTCCAATTAATCTTTTTCTCCCCCCTTACATTCTTTCTTATGTTTTGGTTGCAATACTGTTTTATCTAAGTATGTTAACTATGAGCTATCTTTGAAGTCTTATTTCCTACATTATCTCTATTTCTAGGTCCCTTTCATTTCTCTTTATTTTGGGCTGTCTCTTTTAATTTTAGAGATTTCCCCAAAATGTTCAGGATCTCTCACAGTCTAGTATCTATTCATATTAAAGAGCAAGGCACTAAAACTGTGATTAGAAGCAGTGTTTGTGTTAAGGGGCTACATGACTTGAGGGCTTCTCTCTAGAATAGTCCTAGAGAGATCCACTTCTTACTTGGTAGTGAGCCAGCCTTTTGGTTGGAGTATCTTCCAAAAGTCACCAGTCACTTTCTTTAGAGTCCAGTGAATTTCTGAAAAGAACCATCTTCCCACTTCCTATATGAGCTATGGCTGGCTACAAACTGAGAATAGGCTGGGGAAAAGGAGTTTTACCCTAATATCAGTTTTCAGCCTTATATCTCTACTCTGTGTCTGGTGTCCCCATATTTAGGGAGCCCTCTGGAGAACATACCTCCAGTGCTCTGCCTGAAGAGGCAACTGCCTGGCTGTGTGGGGGAGGGATCTGAGGAGGAGTTGCATTCCTCCAAATATAGACTTTGAAACAATCCTCTTTTCAGCCCATGCCTCTCTGGAAGCTCTGATAGCTTCTTAACACTTCCAAGTTCTGAATCTCTTGGGATTTGTGAGGGCTGAGCTGCTCATCAACTCATTAAGATACTTTAGTTTGCAACTTACCACTGCTCTGTGAAATTAGTTACTACTCCTTCAATTGCTTTTCTTATCACAAACTCTTTTCAAATTTCTAATCTGCTGGGGTATTTCCTCTTTCACCTCTCTGTCCTTATAGGTTTATACTTTTAAAATCACTTATTGTTCAGTTTCATGTAGTTTGGGCAAAGAGAAAACTTGTTTAATCAGCATTATTAAATTTTCTAATGCTTGTAGTGAAGATTAGATATATAGAGCTCCTAGAATAATACCTGGCACACAGTAGGCTCAGAAATTTTCTAAACTTGAAATAAACAAATGATTGGTTTTAAAATGATAATGATTAGGATATAAAGAAGCCAAATGCTATTAGGAAAAAGAGGTGATAAAAGACATGTTTAATGAGCTAAAGATTTAGAATCATATAATTACAAAATGGTAGTCTCAAAGAAATCCTGGATACAGTCTAGCATAAATAAGAAAATGGAGTTCCAAAGAACTTACATGATTTTCTCAAAGTCAGTTAATAAAAGAGCCTGGACAAAAACCATCCTGATTCCACAGTGATCTTTTCATTCCCTCAGAACATCAGGAAGACCCCAAATGGCTACAGGAAGCAGGGAGCTACCTGCTTGATAACTCAGGCTCTACATTTTTTTTTTTTTT